GGTTTCAGAGGGATAGAATCCATCACAGCAGGGAAGGCATGGCAGATCAGCAGCAGGACCAGGAAGCTGGCTGGCCACATTTCCAATAGCACACAGAAAGCAACGCAGAACAGGAAGGTTACAAACCCTCAGAGCTCTCCCAACTCTAATGAAATTCTGACTCCAACAAGGCTCCACCTCCTAAGGGTTCTATAACCTCTCCAAAGAGCACCACCTACTGGGACCAAGTGTTTAAAGAAATGAGACAATGGAAAACAATTCTCACTAAACCCTAACATTGTTCTCCTAAATGACTGCCCTTCCACCTTCATATATATTTATGTATTCCTTTCATCTGGATTCTGCATTGCAGAGAAAACAGGCAATATACATCTTTCTGAGTTTGGCTTATTTAGCTTAACATGATGGTCTCCAGTTCCATCCACTAGCTACCAAATGACATAATGCACAGGAAAAACAACTTGGCTTATTCCACATCAAACACAGATAAGAAAGTTGAATAAATGTTTTATATATTAATTTTATGTAAAAATTTCCAATGCTTAAAATTGTATTTTAAGAGAAAAGCAAGCTTGTTTCATATATGCAGATGATGTGTATCTCTGCACACTTGTTTGGTGCATGAATGTAAGTATGCAGATGCATGAACCCAAGTGTACACATGTGGAGGTCAGAGGAAGTAGTTAGACGTCTTCCTCAAACTACTTGCTACAAAATTCAAAGATCACAGTGTTTGCTGGGCTAGTTGGTCAATACGCTGCTGACGTCAGATGTTCCCTATACCCTGATGTTTACTTTGGAGGAGGCATGCTTAGCCATGCCTGGTTTTTTATACAGGTGCTGTCAAACTAATGCCCTCCTGCTGACACGAGAGTGATCTTACTCATTAGGGCTAAGTCTCTGAGCCCTCCCTGGAAGTGCAATTTTTAATAATATTGATTTTTATGTTTGAGAGGATCAGTCACATTTCTGAAAGAGGACTTTTAAAAGGGGTTCACAGAGGTAGACAAGGAATAGCTGTTCCAGAGGGCTAGATCTAGACCAATGTAAAGTAATTGGCCTCTGAACCAACCTATAGCATTCTGATCTCTCCACAGTGCTGACATTCTTGTCTGTTGATCTCCGTAAACACAGCTTCTTTTCGAGAGATTCTGTTCACAGTTCTACTACAGTTTTATGCATGCTTTTTGAAATCAATTAACTTAGCAGAGTGCTGGCTTCCACCAATCCAAGGGCTCAGGTAGCATCTTAGGCCTACAGTAAAGTTTCCCTTCTTGCTGTATCACCTCTCTGAGGTACTGACCAGCATATTTAAAACTTGCCTTTATTTATGATTTTCTTTCGCTTTGAACGATAAAAAAAAGTCATCATTAGCCAGAATGATAGCACTAGCAGCATGTCTCTCTAATGACGTTTAGAATTTGTACTGATGTACTGATGGACAAATAGGAACACATCACAATTTACATCACAGTTCTTCTTGGTCTCTTTAAAGAACTGGGAACTTAATTGTTACTGTCACACGTCAATCGAAGCAAATGTTTCTTAGCATGTATTTCGGTGTTGGTGGCCTTCTAACTGCCATGATGGGGAAGGCATGGCAGCAGAAGCCTGAGGTAGCTGCTTACATTGTCACAGTCAGGAACTACAGAGCAGGTTATAAAACCTCAAGGCCCACCCAGTGACTTCCTCCAGTAAGGCTGGGCCAGGTAAAGGTCACCAAACCTTATGGTAAACACCCTCTGCCAGTGACAAAGCATTCAAACACACAAGCATGTGGGGGGACATTTCACATTGCAACCAAGGCAACACTCAGAGACTGACAGTGATGGCGGGTAAGCACAAAGGTCAGGAGGAGGGTTCCTGTCCTGAGCAGGATGAAGCAGGATGGTATGAAGACTTTATCACACTCTTAAAAATGGCTCTAATTGAAAATAAACTGCCTACTTGTAGAATTTTCTATGTAATATTCTCAGTCTGCAGTTGACTTTGGGTAGCTAGAACTGTGCAGAACAAAGCTATGGATAAGGCAGGATGAGTGGGCAGCATTAGGTAGAGTAGACACCAGACAGGTTGCTTTTGTTGTTTTCTCAGCTGTGTAGTTTGTTCATTTCTTGTTTGTCGCATATTTTAAAACACCCCTCCAAAATTATACCGAATAAGGAATAATATCAACTCAAAGTATCAAATGAAAAGATTCAGTTGAGCAGTATTGTTTGAGCAACCTCCTAGGACCAAGAGCAAACACTACAGGAGTCAGTTACATCTTTCCCTGATGAAATCTCCTCTACTAGTGCTCATGGCAATGCAGATGGTTACTGTTCTGAATATGGGAAGAGGAATGGGAAGCACACCATGCCAAGGCCTGTACACTACAGAAGTACATACTAACAAAATCCAAGCCAGCTAAAGTTTATGGAAGGTCTCGTTAAGCCTAAGTATGAACCACACACTGTAAGACAAGATTTCTATTAGCTAAGTACATTTAAATAAACTAAACTCGAAATTGTCAATTGCAATTGGAAATATACAAAACCCCCACACTTGTAAACAGATGAAGGACTGTGCTCCTTCAATTTTTCTTCATGAGAAAGAAACTGTCTCACAAGCATGCCTGGTGTTCAGCTTGGACTCATTGCTGACTATAGAATAAAAATATTTTTCTGAATCATGTAAGCCTAATGAGTACAGTTATTTCCTCTGGCCACTCCTGAACTTACTTTAGTAGAGAATGTTATATAGGGAGAGGCTTAAGGATAGACTTCGAGACTAATCAGTAAATTAAGATGGGATTAATGTGATCAGTTAAGATTTTTTGGTCTTGCCTGTGGAGCTGAGCTAGCATCTATATCCCAAAGCAGAGCAGCAGTAATGGAAAATGAGCGTTAGCGACTATCTGCTGCTGTGATGAGACATCACGAGCAAGGCAACTTACAGAAGGGCTCAGTTAAGCTTACGGTTCCAGGGTTCCAGAGCCGGACAAGAGTCCATCACAGCAAGTAGGCAAGGCAACAGGAAGCAAGTATGGCAGCATGGCAGCAGAAGCAGGAAGCTCCCCTGCAAACAGGAAACAGAAAAAGATGAAACCGGAAGTAGGTGAGGCTTTATGCTCTTGAAATCCACCCTAATTGCATATTCCCTCCAGCAAGTCCTCACCTCTTACACCTCCTCACTGCTACCAACTAGGGACCAAGTGTTCGAATATCAGAGCCATGAGGGCCACCTCTAACTGAAAATACCACAGAATACATATTGAAAGTAAGGAACAAAAATCCACAACAGAATGTTACAGATATGACTTCCATTCTCTCCACAGCCCTCTGACATACGTTCTTTGTGAAAATGTGTTTTCCTTGGTTGTTTATGTTGCTCAACTCCTGTGGTTTGAATGAAATGCTATTTTAATAAAAAAAAATTCCTAGAACTGTACTTCCATTTTCTGTTGTAATTTACTACATATTGGGAATTTGCAGACCGTGGCCAGCAGGTGGAAGATTGTTCCTGGCATTTCCAGCACACAATATACATATCTTATATTCACATTTTAACTTCTATTATTTCTCAACCTGATTTTGCATTATCTCTTAATAGTGTAAACCTTTTTGTGGGATAAAACAAATCTCAGTCTAAAAACCTTCCAGAACTCTATCCATTTCCAACAGGTCTTGAAAAACATCACACTTGTAGCTTTAAAAATACACAAAATTTGATTTGCATTATACTTCAGTGTGTTTGGGGCCCTCCTAATGTCTGCCTCTACTGCACAGGTTTCTTGAAATTAAGGTATTTATCATCTTTCAACCTCTAGTGGAACTTTTCTGAATTAAATGGAACACTGGTTCCAACCCCCAAATGGTGGGAAATCGTCAAAGGCATGTGTATCTACTCAATAAAAATGACTTCTGTGAAATAGACACTCATTGTGATGCCAAGATGTAAGACAGAATCGGGTCTGAAGAGGTGAGCTGGAGCTAGTGAGGTGTCTCTGCACCGTCCCAACCGTGGAATCGGCGATGTTTGGACTTCTTTCTCACCCCAGATTAGATCTAGATTTCATTCTAGTAGTTTGGGGCACATTATCAGTTCCCATGGTCTTGGAGTTCTTACAGAGTATCCTTTGGGCCTTCAGTTGAAAGAGGATTTAATGAGGCTTCCACTAACACTAAGATCTACCGACTTATTTTTGTCTACCACATATGAGGTTATTAGTGAATTATTTCTCTTAAATGGAACGTTAGTGTATCCTGTGGGGCAGGGTTGCATTTAACTAGACTTAATTTATTGTTCTAGTCCTGTAGTCCACACACTATCGCACCACATGACTTAAGTATTCAATAGGTGAATGAACCAGTAACCTCTGCACACCTGCTAAAAGGTGGGCTGCTCCATTGGTTGTAATTTCTACCAGTCAAGCCAGGATTTTAAGACCTATCAGTCAGATTAAAATAAAATCTCAAGGCCAAACAATATAGTCTAGGCTAATGGATAAACAAATCTAGCTTAAATATATGATTTGATATTAAAGGCCAGAATTAGCAGACTTGAGCATAAATGTTAGATCACACGCTTGGCTAGGAGCCTCGGGGCAGTAATGTCGTTTAGAAGAGTAGTTGAGGCAAATGTATTGCCAGCTGAAAGGCTGCCTAATCAATTTAGTGGGAGGATTATCCGGGGTAAAGGGCGGGGCGGGGGGTGAGGGACAAGAATCAAAGAAGAAAGGCCGGGAATGCATCTCTGTGGTAGCATGATGCTTGCCCAGCCTGTGAGGTCCTGGTTCCACAAGTACCTGGCAAACGGACTGTTTGAGAGCTTTGGGCTCACACGCAGAACACATCCGCACTGCAATGAACGTCAGCCCCCTTTCGGGAAACAGCTCAAAATGGTCCATCACACGGGTAGAGTCTCTCCTAGTACCACAGTGGAAGCTTGCAATTGGAAGTTTGTTTCCAGCGCCAAGGGACCCGGAAACCCTGAAGCGAGATTGACATCAGCCTCGCCCAATGGCAGAGCATGCAAAGGCGGGCCCTCGCGTGGACGTCCAATCGGTAGCTCCTCGGAAGGCCAGGGCGGAAGCTGCAGCCATGGAGCCGCTCGTGCATCATATGGAGCGCTTCTCCGAGGTGCTGGCCGTCTCGTGTGGGCCGCTGGTGCGCTCCTGGGATGCAACAACCGTGCGTAGGGCGCTGCAGTGGGCACGCTATCTGCTTCACGTGTACCGACGCTTCGCGGGCCGCAGCCGCGCGCGGGAGGCGCTAGAGAGGCGGATCCAGTCGTGGGGCGGGCCGCCCGGGCTGCGCAGCTTCGCGGCGCTGGAGTTCGGGGACGCGCGCCTTGTCCTG